CCCCCCCCCCCCCCCCATGTAAACTGTTTCTCAATAATGAGATATTTACAACTCGACTTGGGATCTGAAGTTACAAAACTAGCTACGTAACTGTATGTTCCTGTGTCGTCTTTCAGCATTGTTCAAATTTCTTAGCTTTTGTTACATTTCCTTATAGCATCCTGTTTTTAAAACATGGGTGTCAAAGATATGGCCTGTGGTCTGGATTTGGCGCACGGAACCCCATCATCTGGCCCCTGGGTCTCAGAGTTGACTCATGTATGGTGCCCACCTTGGCCTTTCCAGGACTGGCACCTCCCCAGCCAGTCTGGAACCCATGCTGCACTGTGGGTGGTGCCTACTCTGGCCTGGGACCTACACTACATGTAGCCCACAACCTGGCTGGTCTGCTACTGCACTGCACATGGTGCCCACACTAACTGATCTAGGACCTACACTGTATGCAGTACCTGCTTCAGCTGGTCTAGGTGGAGTGGGATCTGGCATGCTGTGCTGTATCTGGCATGCTGGGTGGGAGAGGAGAGTATGGGGATATATGGGCTCAGTGCAGCCCCTGGGGGCAACCCACACCATTTATCTGGCCTATGGACCTACCTCTCACCAGTCCTCTAGCCAGGGGCCAGATGAGTCTGACACTCCTATTTTAAGATAAATCGTAAGCTTCTCTGAGTAGTGAATTTGGTCTACACAAGTTTTTACTTAGCCTAACACTATTTAACGGATCTTCTGGGATAGTTTGATACTGTTTATAATACAAATAATACTTGGAGGAATACAAATAGCATAGGAACAACATTTCTGAATGGCAGTTACAGCTTTACTATTATGCTGTATATGGCTTTGGGCATAAAACTTCACCTGTCCATATCACAGTTTCTATACCTGCAAAATGAAGGTACCGGTCTTAGTGGCACACCTACGATTAGTTAATATCTGTGAAAAAGCTTTGAATAAAACAGTCAGCAAACAAACTATTAAATTATTTCGCTAGTCCTAGCTGCATGATTAAATTTCTGTGTTAGAAACCAAGTTTGAGACTTATACTCATTTATTTTTAAAATAGTTTTAGATCTTAAAGTTGAGCATATCTAGTGTATCTATGTGCTGTTGAATCTTAATAAAATATTTTTGAGAGTATTTGTTTGGATAATGAAAGAAGAACTTTTTTTTTTTAATATCTAAATTCTACTGGTCTAATTTTGGAATTTTTTTCTTTGAATATTCTGATGCTCAGTATGTGTACCTGACTTTCACAACGTCCTTAAACTTTTTTTCAGTGGTGCTGTGTGTAATGTACTCCTGACTTGCTGCAAAGATAACGTGTGCCGTCTCTGGGCAGAGACTTTGTTACCAAATGATAGTCTGTTGTATGGTGGTGAATACAACCATTGGACTGAACCAGTGAACTTGACCAATAACTTCAAAAGAAATGCTTCTAGTAAGGAACGAATGCAAAATGCCTTAGAGGTAAGAACCACAGAAAGTATGACAGCAAGTGTTGTCAGCTGGGGGTATGCATACCCCTAGGGGTACTTAGAAAGGTGATAGGGGGTATATGCAGGGAGGCAGGGATGGAACAGGGTGCAGGAGCAAGGGCAGTGGTGTCCCTCTGTGGGGCAGGGGGGTTGCACACGGCAGCCACTGCTGCCACCCAACATCCTGTGCTACCACCACCCTACACGGCCGCCTTCCAGGAGCAGGGCTAGGGAGGGAGGGCAGCGGCACCCCTCTGTGGGCTGCACAGACGCTGCCCGACCGCTGGCTCTGCAGGCTGCTGACGGGCAGCGCACAATTGGTCAGGCGTGAGGCCCGTCAACAGCCCACAGAGCCAAACATGCAACTGGCCATGGAAAAGTGGGGCACGTGGCAGCATGGGGCAGTGAGTAGTGCCGATGGCCGCTGTGTGCAAGCACCTACCCCTCTGCGTCCAGCTGCCACCACCAGAAGGGGTACACATGTGAAAAAGGCTGAAAACCCCTGTACTACAGAATAAGCAAGCCTCAGCATCTCACTAAAATGTCACCCCGGGTCTGCAATTCCTTGCATAACAGCCCTTCCAAACTGATTTTTAAGACAAATGGAGGTGTCAAGTGAAATGTCCTCCCACTTCCTTTTTTTTTCCTGCTGTTATAACCCTCTCTTCTTTAAGAAGATAAGTGTGAATCCGTAGGTCTTGCAGGGTAGAGGTAAAAAAAATGGAATGGTACCTTCCCGTGTATGTTATGGCAGCAAGATAGCATTTGAATATATTTTTCCCCTCTCTCAACTAGTGCTGATTTTCTGAGGTAAAGTACTCTATAACTTCTGGGAACAAGATATATGTGGAGGAGAAGCCACATGCTTGTGTGTGCATCAGGGGTGGGTAATTATTTTGGTTCATGGGCCACAGAGGGAGTTTGGACAAGTTGTCGCTGGCTGTATTTTGCTCACCTGTGGTATAGATACTAAGGAATCTAGCACTGGGTACCTGTAATACAAGCTGTATAGATACCTCAGAGGTTGTGGAATTAATAAAATAAGGGTACTATTGATGTGGGCAGGCTCTGCATGGGGATATATGCATACCAGGATATGCTGCCGTTGCTCCCACTACTTAGCTATATCCTGCACCAAACTGATATTTGTACTATTTCAATGCCTATATACCATATCAAGCCTGAATGGACTTAAATTGTAACAATTTTTTAAATTTAATTCAGTAGTATTGTAGGTAGCCATATCCCATCTTTAAACTGTGACGGTTTTCCTTGAAAATACTTTTTAAAATTACTAGGTTTTTAAAAAATTAATTACGCCTATAGTGTAAGAATAAAAATATTGATCCTACCCATGGAGTCTTGGTTAGAGAACATAAGAACTGCCATTTACTGGCTCAAACCTTATCTGGTATCCTGCATCTCACACTGGCAGAGAGTAGATGTTGAAAGGGAGAGTGAACAGGGTATGACTAAGGTTTTCCTCTGTTCCTCTCCTACTTACAGCCCCCAGCATTACAGGAATAGAAAGTTCTGATTCTGAAGCTTATACCCCTCTCATGAGGGAGGATCTAATTGTAGTTTGTTTCCATTATTCAACTATTTGAAAATCTTGTTTATATTTTCCATTTTAAAAGTGCTGTAGGGTACAAAACTGTGCTGCTTGATTTAGTAGAGTATGAAGGCTATAGATATATTGCCCAATACTTTGGAATAAAAAAAAAAATCAGAACGGTTCTCCCATCAATGGCATGACAATGCGTAAGGGCCTTTGTAGAAGATTCTAAAGTCATCTTTCTACCTTCTGTTCTTTTCTTAATAGAAGACTTGTTCAGAATAGTATATTGTGTAAATTAACCATGTTTTCCCTTTTTAAAAGCTATTTTAGTTTAGAATACCACATGATTTTTCTCTTGAGGAAAAACTCTATAGTTAAAAAAAAACCAAACAAACAAAAAAAAACACAATAAAAAAACCCCAACTTTTTTTATTTTTTCCTCCCCAGTTAAATCTGAAACACTTCCGGCGAGGGAGGAGAAGGTCAGGTGCAGTCACAGCCCATACTGGATACTCACCACATCAACAAGATCCTCATGATGTTCATCGAAACACTCCTTTGCATGCAAATGCACTCTGCCACTTCCATATTGCTGCCAGTATCAACCCAGCTACAGGTAACAAAGAACAAATAAGAATTTGCAACAGACCTGTATACTTTACCATGTGTATCATGAGTCTGTTGATATGACCACAGTAGAATTTTTCCCACAAGATGCTTGTTGCTTTCATTGCTTGGATGGTTGTACCTTGAAGGTAACTGTGTTGCATATCCCTTATTTTTTCTGTGCCTGAATTTACTCTAATACAAATGTTGAGCACTTGCAATTGCAACCAAAGTAATTGGAGAGTGCTGGGAATGTATAAAGTGGTATATAATGTTAAGCATTAAAAAAAAATGGGTCTTCGGGTTTCTCAAATTGTGTACCCCAAATTGAACACTTTCCCATCTTTAAAAGACAAAGTTTGTGCATTTTCAAGTTATGTACAGCTGAGTTAATATTTTAAGCACTCTAGTATTATAGTGGTGAGCACCATAGAAATGACAGAAGAAACAGTAATTCTGTCTTCATAAGTGCTTAATATGCTAAAAATAAGGCATGAAAAATAGCACTGAAAGCTGAAGGTAAAACTGAATTTTTTCCAGTTATTTCTCCTGGACACAGAGTTCAGTTGCCTGATATCACAGGCAATTACAGCATCATATATCCCTTTTCATAAACTGATCAAGCTGTATCTTACAAGAAGGTTTGGATCCCCTATCCCTATAAGATGATTATAGTATCTTTGTGTAAGGGATTTTTTTTTTCTAATTTTTCAGCCTAAATTTTTTCATAACCAATTTATATCTACTGGATCTTGTGCTTGACATGCCTCAGAGCTTAAATAGTTCTTATCCCTCCCAGACATTTTACCCTTTCATTTATTTATAGGCAGAAATCAATATTCCCTTTCAGTTTTTTTGTTTTCCTATACAAAACAAGCCAACTTACAATTACTCTCCTCTTTTAAGATAGAATTACCATAGTTACCCTTTGTACTTCTTCCATTTTTTCACCTTTCTGGAACAGATGAAGTCTCACCAGCACCTTGTACTGGCTTTAACATTTCTCTGTCTCTACTGGGAATGCTCTGACTAATGCATCCTAGGATCACATTTTGTCTTTTTCAGTAATGAGGCATCAGATGTGATGCAGCCATTTTGTGACCAGTTAATACACTCAGGTGTCTTTTGTGTCCTTCCTGACTGATTAGGATCGTATCTTTATAGTAGAAATGCTTATCCCTAAATTGATCATCTAGTGTATAGTACCATTACATTCAATTCAGTTTCTTTTGCTGCTGTTCTGAAGGCCATCTGATTCTTCTTCTGTGATAACCTGATCCTCTGCTCTGTTGAAGTTTCCCACACTATGCATATTAGTTCCTGCCCTCCCAAAGGTGCATATTTAGCAGACTAAAAGTTTTTTTTCTGATCTAATTAAGACCAGGAGCATATGTGCATTTTTTCATATTTGAAGGATGCTAATCCAGCATCCCCAGATGCCACCTCTCACTCAATTTCCTCCACAGTGGGATGTATACTCTCTGTTACTAGGTGTTGCACTTCAGGGTTTATCCTTCTAAAATGTAAATTTGTCTTTACCTGGGAGGACCTTTTCTTGAGTAGACACAGTTCTTTAGATGCTAATTCTAAGCAATTACTGCATTTCAGCCTTTCCTAGGTGCCAGAGAGACTCATTATCATATTTTGCAATCTTGGTCCTATTATAACATTAAATAAATTCATATTATATCAAATACAAGAATTCATGCAGACGTAAGAATGGTAAAATTGGCCACAGTTTCCTGCTACCCAACTGCAGAGATTATGCATGCCATATTGGTAAAACAACCTCAAGAAATCATGTGTCACCCCCCACAAAACCATAGACCTCAGGGGGGTTCATTACAATAGTTCTTTTCAGTAACGTCATGAGCATTGATTTTTCATCAATGCCAGGTTAGTCTCTAAGGTGCCACCTTGCCCTGTCTTTTGGTATCAATGCCAAGTGAACACCATTCCACCTCTACACTAGGTAAGAGCTGGGTTTCAATAGAAAAAATAACATGGGTTAATGTAACTATAGACTGTATGATCATGTGTATGTGTATGAGCACAGGAACAGCGAAATAAAACTGCCTTGTTTTAAGTCCTTGATTTTTGTACTTGAATGTTATTTTTCATATCTGTTTTGTTTGCAAAGTAAAGAATAGTAAGTATTCCTATTATTAAACTGGTCAAGTATGACTTCATAAGGTCTGTTAATAATGGCACTCAGCTATTTATCTAGCCCTCTTTCCCATAGCTCATAAATATATTTAAAACGGATAATTCTGATTCCAAAGTGTGCAATAATTACTGCACAAGTTAAGGCATCTGCTTGGAATGGAAGACTGCTAATTTATGAGTTGGTAAACTTTAGTTGGAAGACAGGAAGGAAGACTGGCTTTCATTTCCTATAAAGCACTGATTCTCAACTGGGGTGCCACAGTATCAGTCATCTTACCCTTGCTAAGAAATCATCAGTGACAATCAGCAGCACAATGTCAAGTTATTCGATCTAGTTTGGTCACCAGAAATCTTCACAGCTGTGGCAGTACAGAACTCCACACACATGAATTTTATCTTGTGTGGAACTCAGTACGTATAATTTTTTTTTATACTGTGCCATAGTCTGTAGTGTTGGATACACCCCAAGTTTCTCAGAGTGTGTTGTTATGGAATGCAGAATCACAACCTCTATTCCACAAGAGATTTTTGAGATACTCAGCAAAACCCCAGTCGGGGAGTTTTGTTCTGCCTGGCAGTGATAAAATTGCCATAAGTGTAGTAATAAGTTGTTGCATAGTGGTGTAACATGCCCTTTTATACTGGATCAAGGAAAACTTTACTGGGCCATTTTCTATTTTGGAAATAATTTTTTTTTTTTTTTAATCTTAGACATTCCTTTACTCCCTTCAATCACATCTTTGAGTCTCAGTGAAAATGAAGAGAAAAGCGGGCCTTTTGTTGTGCATTGGCTCAACAATAAAGAGTTGCATTTTTCCTTGTCCATGGAAGTATTTTTACAACAGATTAAAAAGAATTTTGAACAACATTCTTCAGAAACCAGCACTGAAGAGTCTAATCAGATAGATGGCAAATCAGATGAAGGTAAGATGCATATTGAAGATAATGAGATGCACTATATAGTCTAAGGCAGTGGTTATCAACCTTTTTTGTACTGGGACCCATTTGTAAGCATCAGTGGCCTATCCTGACCTAGTGCCGCTCACTCCTGATCCACTGCCCTCTGCCCCCAGGCCCTAGCATGTGAGGCAGGGTGGGGTGTGTGTAGGGGCATGGGAGGCCCCAAGCAGCCCCTTGCAGGCTGGAACTCTGCCAGCCTGCAAGGGAAGAGCCATGATTTCCAACATTTTTCTCCTTTAAAAGAGAATCGATTTTTAAAGTGTTCATGACCCTTTCATATGTTCTTGTGACCCACGGGTTGAGAAACGTTGGTCTACGGGCCACTTAAAAAAAAAAAAAAAAAAAAAAAAAAAAAAAGGCACCTGAAGTTGCAGGTAAACACATAGGAATTTTCAGAATCCACCTGAATGCCTAAATACATTTTTATAATGTGTGGGAAGTGTGTGTAATTCACAGTTTCAAAGCTCTCTTTGGTACAAGCAAATAATATTTGTTTAAGTTTTAACTTGATTAAGTTGATAGTATTTTGCAAGCGTATCATGGACTGACAGGCTTCTGGGAAAGAACATTTTAATTTCCTTGATAAAGTTTATCAAAATAGATCTACAGAAGTTAATGCACACATTTAGGAGATAAAGCATTCAATGTGTTACCTGATACTGGCAGTGTGTCTGTGGTCTTCTAATTGTAAGTGTATTAGTGTAGGCTTATAAGCACCTGTTGGCTGGGAATGGAACAGTGGAATAAAGGAAAATGTGTAAAGAGCTCAGAATTCTGTTCTGTGATTTCTTAAGTTAGGTAGAGAGTTCATGTAACTTCTCGATAGCTTGTTTTTTCATTAAGTTAGAAATGGCTGGTGTTAACAGTGTTTTGTTTTTTGTTTTTAAAAACACTTTCAACCAGAGGACCATGTGCTTTTTCTTTCAAGGATGATGTACCCTCTGGTACTGCAAAATATCCGTTTTCTTGAAAGTAGTGTCCATTACAGCTCCTCATGTGCTGTGATGGCACTAACTAGTTGAGATCGTGCTTTGTTCCTTTATCTTCTGCTGCCTATATTCTTCTTTTCCTGCAGCTCTGCAGGCAGAAGACCAAAAGTGGTCTCCTTTGTCTTGTAGTTCAGCATGTGAGATTTTAAAACAATGTTTTTAAAACTACTTCTAGCATGATTCTGTAAGTCACTTGAGTAATGGAAATGAGTTTTGCATTAGTGAAATGTTAACAAAATTTGTGGGCTTGAGGGGTTTGGGGTTTTTTTGTCCCATGTCCCCCTGCACCTTCTTCAGCCACTGCTGGAGAGTATTTACAGCTAAACACATATTGTTTGCATATAAATATTTAAAAATTTAACCAGACACATGTATTGCTCACAACTTGTAGTGTTCACAAAGCTAAAATTTTGGTCTCAAGTTTTTACCTGTTCAATTTAAACTGTTACTTGGCTGTTCTAGTGTTTTAAAACTTGATTAACTTAAAGACAGAGAATAGGAACTTGATGTGTTTTATTCTTGAGTTCTTCTGAGATTTGTTTGTTTGTTTGTTTGTTGTATTTCTCATGAACATTTATTATGACTTTGTTTTAAAAAAGTTAGAGCATACATTCTCATATACTTTTAAATTCGTATTTTGTTTATCAATTGATTATACTTAAGAGTACCCTTCTTGGGTGGGGTAAATATTTGATTTAGTGATTAAATCCTTGACTTTTTAACTTTGTTTAAATCTTGTTTGTTTGGTTTGTTTTTTTATGAGTAGTTTAAAGAGAGGGCCTTGTACGACCTGCCAATTTATTATGTATATGATTTGTGACTTTCAATTATAGCTTGAACGCATAGATTTCTTTACAGTTCATGCGTTTCCCTCTACTAGAAGCTGATGAAAATGTGGAGGATCAAAAAGCAAACCAAGAAAAGAAGGAACTGAGCGATGAAAGAGCTGTTCCGAATTCAAGTTTTGTTCTTTTACCTTCTGCTGCTATTGATCATGAGATTGAAATACTACTGACTGAATGGAGTAAAAATGCTGACATGCTCTTTAGTATTCATCCTATGGATGGTTCATTGCTGGTATGGCATGTGGACTGGCTAGATGAATACCAGCCTGGTATGTTCCGCCAGGTGCAGGTACTGTTGTTTTTCTGGATTAAGATATGTGCTTCTGTTCAGTTAGAAGTATGTTAATATCTACCTACTAATATGTACTTTTTTTCCTCCTCCCCCCCGCTTTAACTCTAGGTATCCTTTGTTTCAAGAATTCCAGTAGCTTTTCCTACAGGTGATGCAAATTCTCTTTGCAGAAGTATAGTGATGTATGCTTGTACCAAGAATGTTGACCTGGCTATTCAACAAGGCAAACAAAAGCCACCTGGCCTTGCACGCTCCTCATCTATGCTTATCTCTTCCGGCCACAGTAAATCAACCAACAGTTTAAAATTAAGTATCTTCACTCCTAATGTTATGATGATTTCCAAACATGCAGATGGTTCTTTGAATCAATGGCTAGTCAGTTTTGCAGAGGAATCTGCTTTTTCAACTGTGCTGAGTATTTCGCATAAATCCCGATATTGTGGTCACCGTTTTCATCTAAATGACTTGGCTTGTCATTCAGTACTACCATTGCTGCTTACAACCTCACATCATAATGCTTTAAGGACACCAGATATCGATAGCACCAAACAGACAAATGACTCTTTAAATTCTGGCGAGTCTCATTTAAGACCTCAAAATACAGGAACTGCAAGTGTAACGTCCCAGGATCCCAATGCCATTTACAGTGAGCTTATTCTTTGGAGGGTTGATCCAGTTGGGCCTTTATCCTTTTCTGGTGGAGTTTCGGAACTTGCACGAATAAACTCTCTTCATGTTTCGGCGTTTTCGAATGTGGCGTGGTTGCCTACCCTTATACCCAGTAACTGTTTAGGTGAGTTTTCCCTCTTACTTTTTGTAGTGTGTTAAAGTTGTAGAGTTAAAAGTAGTATGGACAAAAAATAAACTAGTATGAAGCATTTAGGATGTTGAATGTATTGATTGGATATTTATCTGATGGTTTCTAGAGTGTTGGTTTTCTCAAAAGTAAGTTCAAATACAATACAAATATGTGTAAGTCACTAGATATTTGTATGATATTTACTTTGGTATTTTTGAGAAAAATACTATATTCTGCTTTCCCCTTCTTTCTGGTGCCATGTATACTTTTAGTGTTATTGGCTGGTAAGGACAAGGTCACTTCTCTTTGTCTACAAACGTACAAGCTAAATTATATAAAATATGCATATAGTGTAGTTCTTGGTCAGAGAAGAGGGTGGAGTTTAAAACATTAATATGAACAAGGAGGACTGTGTGTAGGAGAATCTTGTTTTCTTTTGTTCTCTGTATTTTTAGTAAAACTAAGTTTGGTGTCAAAACTGTCTGGTTCTTTCATGTACATACAAGTAAAATCGCCTGAAATAGTTTTGTTCTGCTTTAGTATTAAATAGTCTTGTTTCTTTTCACTAAAAAGTAGGAGGGCTGATGTTCATTCAGCTAAATTTTGCATTGATTGCTAATTCACATTTTTTTCAGGAGCCTACTGCAATTCTCCGAGTGCTTGCTTTGTGGCAAGTGATGGACAGCATTTAAGATTATATCAAGCTATAATAGATGCTAAGAAACTTCTTTGTGAGCTCTCCAATCCTGAAATTTCTGTAAGTGTAAAAATATTTATTTATTTATTTATTTGGAGTAGACATGTAAACTCTGCTGCTTTAGGTGGAAAATCAATAAGATGCTCCTTTTGCAATCAGTTACTACCTGGAACATAAACATCAGATTAGACTTACAGGTTTTGATCATTTTTGTTTAATAAATATGTTGTGATGATTGGCAAAAGTGGGAATATTAACCCTTGTGACCTCACCAAATTTCAACCTAAACTCAGTACTGAAAATTATGTATGTGGCTGCTCTTAACTTGTCTGTGTGCATTGTAATACAGTTTTCAAGTCAAGGTGCCAAGTGCCTTATTACCATCATAAAAATAGGCAGCCAATTTGCATCTTTTTTTGTGATCCATGTCGTACAGAGGGAATATTAAAATAAATAAATTCACCCAGTTTATATCAGAGTTTCCATAGAACATACATTAAGCTTTGATTTAATAAACTAAATTATTAACCCTGACTATGAAGAAATTAAATGTAAGCAATAAAACTGTTATGCCAAAATTAAATTGGTTGAATATTTGTAATTTTTGTAAATTTTACTGTTGACTTGAGCATTACTTGTATTACTGCTTTTTTACAGAAATATGTTGGTGAAGTTTTTAACATCATAAGTCAACAATCTACTGCTAGGCCTGGATGCATCGTAGAGTTGGATGCCATTACAGAACTTGTAAGAGACTTTTCTGTATTCACTGTGCATCACATGTGCAATTTTCTTCACCTGTTGATGAAATCCTCAAAGATTAATTCTTACAAAAGCTTATTTCACACTATCCTCTTGACCTAGTTTTTGCTGACAGTCAGAAAGAACTTGGATATTATATATATTAGAAAATGTTGCTATGTCTGAAAACTTTTTGAAATGTAATGTAGGAATAACTCCTGTGATGAGAGATTTGAATCTTATCTCAATTATATTTTACAGCAATCAGCTCTTTAATTTATCTTTTATTTAGTGTGGCAGAAGAACACAACTTCTTCACGTTTTTCACGAGGACTTCATTTTGAATAACCGGGAGGAGAAAATGCCTGGAAAGAAGAATGATTTATCAGAGTCTGGTAAATCAGCATTACATATCTAATACAGTAAATGGTGAAGAAAGAATTGGATATACTAACTTGTATGAGAATTGGGGTTTATTGCACATCTTTTCTGTGGCAAAAATTATACATATATTTTACTAGACTATAAGATTAACATATTGAGATGAAATAACAGGTAAACAAATTATTTTCCTCTTCCTTGAAAGTAACATTTCCCAAGTGCTGAGACAGAACAGCATTGTGTCCAATACCCATCAGATGCATTAAGAAATGTACTGAACTACTGATGGCATTAGTGCAGAGAGAGGTACTTGTTGAAATAATTTGTTTATAAGATAAGACCCATGCCGTAGGATCTGAGAGAGAGACATTTTAACATCATGGTTCACTATGGTGGTCTAAAAGTCCACATACGTATTTAGTCACTATTTTCAAAAGTTGGCAGAAGACATTATGGAAAAATGTCACTCCCTTGAAATTACATAACCATTCCTTTTGAGCTGTACAGTAAGTCAGAGACTTCCTGTATAGTATAAAATGATTAAATACAATTTTAGTTACTGTATGCTCCTATAGTAACAGGTCTAAGAGGTTCCATGTGTGAAGATATTTCTAAATCCACAGAACTGGCTTTAGTAACAAAAAAAAGAAATTATAAGTGTGAACCACTTCTGTACTTCATAACCTGCCAGTAACTTGTTAAATATAGCAGATCTAATCCAAGGTACCTTTTTTTCTTTAATTAAACATACAGTTGTCTTCCATAATTCTCATCCTGGGTATGATCGTAAACTGCATCTGATTGAGGGCCTGTTAGCAATGTGGTGGGGGCTGCTTGTGGCAGGGTAGCTCCTATAAAACACCACAGTATTGCAACCCCCAAAGTAATGTGAATATAAGGTGCCTTAAACTCTAGCCCCCACTGCCTTGTGAGTACTTGGTTGGAAAAAAGCTAAGGGACATCACCCTGAAAGAAACATGCTCTTGCTGAGGTGCTAGGCAGTCAGCAGCAGTACTTACCTGTTTCTCTCTGGCAGAAGCTGCAGCCATTGAGGTGCTGATGTCTGGACTTGATCTGGCCTATTGATTCTATCAGGGTGGATTTGATTTTAAATCAGAATTGATTTAAACCACAATTTAATCACTGGTCAGGAAGCTTTGATTTATTCATTGTTTTCAACAAAAAGTACATTCTTGTTTGATATAGGGCTGATGGGTAGGTAGTCAGGTCTGTTATCTCTGGAGACACAAATCCACAGGTTGAGAACTGAAAATAAGCATCACAGAGATGCTTAATGGGATCGTGTAGACTGAGCACTAGGTCCCATTGAGTAGAGTGGTTTTCTTTAATCTTTGCTAATCTATAGAGGAGCCTCTGGGAACCCAATAAACTTGGGCCCCTAATATAGTCTATGGCCTATTGTGACTTATTTATATTTTTTTTCTAAAATGTTACATGAATGTGTTGTCTCGAACAGTATATAATTAGAAATTATAATGCCTATTCCATGATGAGATCTTTGAGCTTTAACATACTTTAAATTAAAACTATCTTTCTATAAGTTTTTTTTAAAAAGCATCTTACATTTTTTAAACTGATTAATTTTTTTTTAAATATTTTATTTATTTTTAAATTGTTTATTTTTATCCACCCTGGATTCTGTTTCAGTGGTCTGAAGAGGAGGGATGGTAGGTCTTGGACAGCTCCACTCCTCCATACTTTTGCCTAGGTATATACATCAAAGTTCTTGGTGTGATGGTTGCAGGACGCCATATAAGCATGTCCTTTTATGTGAACACCGTGATCCAGGGGGTTGACAGCTGCCTACTACTACTAACTCTCAATGTTAAACTTTTTAGAAAGCAAATAAATAGGCCCACAAGCTTTTCTTTGTTTGTTTGTTTTTTTTATTTTGATCTCCTAGTACAGTTATTTTCAGTTAATGGACCATGAAGGTATTGCAGGTAGACCAGAGAGGCAGATGCAGGGGGCTGGAGGTTCATTTAAGTGCCAGGCAGCATTGTGCTGAGAATTGCACTGCTTACATACAAGTTACTTCCCAAATGAGGAGTAACAGGAGCTTTTTAAGTGTGATGCTGTTGGCTCTGCTGAGAAGCAAGGCTTAACTGCTTGATGCTGTACCTAGTGT